TTTAAGGACCAAAAAAGTACAAAAAATAGTTTAAAGACCAAAAAAGTATAACTTAATAAAGTTGAAGGATAAGAAAGTGCAATTTAATCAAATTAAGGGGCAAAAAGTGAAATTTAAATGAAGTTGAGGGACAAAAAAGTGCAATTCAATGAAGTTAAGGGACCAAAATTAGAATTTAATCAATTTTTTTCAAGTGGCGGGTGTGAAGTGTGACGGAACATTAACGGAGTAACAGGAGATTTAACGGAAGTTAATTTTCCGTCCAATTGGGTCCTTATTTGAGAATTTGGTGGAGTTCGGGACCTTCATTGAGTGCAATCAAAGTTTGGGTCCGAAATTGCGAATTTGGTGTAAGTTCGGGTCCTTATGTCATATTTTTGCCATGATCTTATTAGTAAAAATGTTTTTTTTCAATTAAATTTTTTATTTTTAAATTGTTTGTATTTACTTTAATTAGAAGCTAAGCTACTTTATTAATCTAGAAATTTTTTTTTTATATACTCAAAGTACATATAGACATGTCTTCCAAGTGATCATATTGGAATCATATGCTATTCTTCAGGAAAATATCCATCAACCCCTCTGAACAGCAGAATTAAGCTTGCAATTGCAAATTTGCAAATCGGTTGCGTATTCTAATTTGCTTGGCCTAATTTTGGTTCCAGTGGCCAACGTTCTTCGATTCCTTTTGCTAAACTTGTGGCAGGTACATTACCTATCTATATCTTCAATTTTAAATTTCTCTGTTGGTGCACAATTTGATTACCTTAGATTTCTTGTTTTTGATTGATTGCTAGTTCAGTTTTTTCATTTTTTTAAAGTGACAAGTTGAATAATGAAAAAAAGGTAGTGACAATTTTTCCAACTCTTTTATAGTTATTAAATATAAAAAATATAATTAATACACATTTAACTTATATTTCTACATATTAGTCAAATTTTTAAATAAAAAAATTACTTTAAATAAATTTAATCAATAATTTCAAGAAAATTTTAAAAAATAAATAAATACGAGCTGAAAACTGAAATCAACAAAAAATTCAGAATTAGCTATTGTATTTTTCATTTATTACTTATACACATGAACAATCACGTAATTTCAACTCTTTATTTTTCAATTTTCATGCATTCTTTGTATGGTACAACGCGTTTCCCCATAAATTTTAAAATATTCTATCTAAAATAGGAAAAAAAATCCAAATTCGAGAACTTGAGAAATTTTTTTAAAAAAATTAATAAAAAGAAAAGAAAAAGGAATCTTCTCGACGCGTACTATCACCAGGAAACCAATTCGGCCAGTTATTCGATTTTTTCGATGTGCTCTGGGGATAACAGATAACTTCTTCGTCGGTTTTCTCTCCTTCTCCGGTCTGAAATCAAACCTTGAAGCGTCCGAGACGTCTTCGCAGCTCCAGCCGGCTTTTCGAAAAGAGTCTGACAACCGGTCGGCTTTGAGAAGAAGCGCATTGAGGACGGCTTGATTGTCAAGCAGAACCATTTCTTCCTCGAAAAATCCTAAAGCTGAGACGTCGACGATGTCCGCTATATCGATCTCGTCCCACCCACCCTCTCTCAGAACCGACCCGATTTGTTCAATGCACTCCTGGACCCATTTGAGAATTTCGGATCTCGGCATTTTGAAGTACCTTTCTGGTGACGAGCTCAAAGGCCAGGGCGAGTTTCTCCGGCGCCGATCAATGGCCACGTCGCTCCAGAACTGGCCCATCTTGGGGTTGGGTGGGGCCCATCAAAGCCGAGCTGTAAAAAAAAATTTTAAAAGGTGTTAGATGTCTGACCGTCTGGTGGTTAACTATCAACAAACTTTCTATTACCTCAAAGGCAGAAGGTGCAATTCAGCCCCTCTACCAGCCATGTTGTGGCAGATCAGCCCCTGTACTAGAAACCATGGCAAATCAGCCCCTCTACTTCATGTTATCCGCAGAACACCCCTTTTAATGAGAATGACGTCATCCAACCGTTAGACCCTCCATTGCCCGTTAAAACCTGATGAGTTGGCGCTGACTGGGAGCTGATTGGGTGCTGATGTGGACCAATTTTACTCCACCTGGGTTTACCGAGATGGCACTCCAAACGGGCGGCTGGCCCATCATTCTCCTCCCTCTCACCATTGCATTCCTCCAGCGCCGCAAAATCGACCCTACATCCAAGTTCTTCCTCATGAAGCTCCGCCTATTCGTCGCCTCCGTAGTGATAGGAGTCATCACAGGTATGGAGGCTATGTTAAAAACGTGCGTAAATTAAAGGTATGCAATAATACGAAGTGAACTTCTGCTTCACCAAGAGGAAGGAAAAACCGGCGGTGAAGGCTAGCTGGGAGGCAATGATAAGGGAATAGGTGGAAACGGGAAGACGCGCCACTCCATAAGCGTAAAGGTAGTCATCACAGCCTGTGAGCAAGAACGGATTAAGATTTTTCCTACACTCAAATTGATTGCTCCATGTTCCTCCGATGGCAGACGCAACCAATGGCAAGCCACCACATTGTTTTGCAACCAATGGCAAAGAATGCTCTGAAGGTATCAAAGCATTTGCAGATGATCTGAGAACTAACTTCTCAATTATCTCCAAACATTTATCATCTGATAGACTCTGCAAATCATACCTACGAATATGAAACTGTTTCCCCCGCACAGATGCTACACTTTCACAACGGGTTGTTAGGGCAATAGAGTTCCCATTGGTTTTCACAATTTGTGAAAAACTAGAGGCAAAAGCACTCCAGTTGTGAGAATCTCTTTCCCGCACATCATCAAGAATGAGAAGAAAAGTTTTGTTTTCTAGTTGGTGGCCTAGATCATGAAGCAGTGCAGCAGTTGTATTATTTTTATTTGGATGGACATGAAAATATTCTAACATCTCACCCAAAATTCTTTGATGATTAAAATCGTCAGATACACACACCCAAGCTACTACATCATAGAGTCTTTCTTCCTTTGCCTTCCTAAAAACTGATCTTGCTACTGTTGTCTTTCCAACTCCTGGCATACCTACTATTGAAATGCCAGAGATTGGATGTCGAGTCTTACGGTATTTCAGCAAGTTGACAATATTTGAGACATCATACTCCCTTCCAACAACTTCTGAAGAATCAAGAAGTTGGACCATCTCGTAATATGGCCTAGCAGTTGCACTGTTTTGCTCCCCAAGTTGGATAATCAGATTAATAAACGGTACCACCTTTCTGATTTCAGCTAAAGATTCATTAATCATCTTAAATTTTTTAGCCATAGAAAAGAAGGCGTGCACCTGTTTCTGCCTCTGGATTGAAGTCTCAACTTCCTTCTGAGGAACACGTATACCATAATCACACTCATCAAGCAAATCCACCGCATCATAAACAGCATCGTTGAGCTTCTGCAACCAAAAGCTGATGGCCGCATCACTTCCTTGCCTCTGCTCGGCGCCTCGTGCAAAATCTTGAATTTCAGTTAGCGACTGAGCAAGACCTGCCAACTGCTTCTGCAGAACAGGGGCAAAGCTGACCTGTGCAGCAATTGAAGTTGCTTTGGAAAGTGCCTCAGGCATAAGAGGAGTGATGAGGATGAGGCCGGTATCAGCCATATTATGCAATCACAATTGAATTCTGAGAGAGAGATTCTAGGGCTGTGAATTGTTAGAGGTATTGAGGGCAGCAGGTAGAAGATAGGACTTGAAGGTTGCGTCAATTTAGGGAAATGAAATGTAAATGAAGATGCAATAATTTCGCAGGCATTTCATTTGGGTGAGACTACCTTTAATTTACGCACGTTTTTAACATAGCCTCCATACCTGTGATGACTCCTATCACTGCGGAGGCGACGAATAGGCGGAGCTTCATGAGGAAGAACTTGGATGTAGGGTCGATTTTGCGGCGCTGGAGGAATGCAATGGTGAGAGGGAG